TAAATTACAAAATAAAAACCATTAAATAAAAAAAATACCTCAAGTATTACGAGATCACCTTTCATTAATTGGTTCATATACCATTAAATCTTATGTCCTAACAAGTTCAGGGGCTTGAGTTGGTGATGAGGCCTTTCTTTTGAGTAGCTTCAACTATTAAATTGTAATTTGTCAATGTTAAATTCCGGAAAATGAAAAACAATCCAAAGAAAACCCGATTGATTGCATTATTAAATTTGCATTCACTCTGCCCTTTCGGACATGGGTATTGAAGGTGAAGCCGAAGATATTAAACCGCGGGACTATTGAAGAACCTTCTCTTTGGAGAAAAGAAAACATTACGATAAATTCGTCACGAAAATATATTTCGATGGTAATTAATGTGTCAATACAATTCTTCTCATTAATGCAGACATGTAAATTAATACATAGTTATTTATTTAATATTACTTAATTATTGCAAGATTTTATAGTAAGAAAAAATATTATATATCGAAAGCAAACTCTAATATGTCAATAAAATTACATTAATCTTGAAATATTCTAAATTTTAGGCAATGTTTTGAAAATCGATCGAGAGGTCAAATCATTTTGATCTTTGAGTTTTGATTTGATCGGTTTAACTAATTTAACTGGTAAAACCACCAATTCAATTAGATATTAATAAATATAATATTGTGCTACATTTGACAACCAATGGTTTCATTGGTGTGTTGTCTTTCCCTCAAAATGAGGATGAAGGTTCAAATTTAAGAAATGTCAAAATTTAATTAATTTGTTGCTCAAAATGAGGATGGAGGTTCGAGCCTAAAGATGTCAATCAAAATTTAATTAATATGGTGCTAATATGTGATTTATAATAGGTTTTTATTACATAGGTTAAAAATATGCTAAATATAATTTTTATAATTAATTTATATAAAAAATTATAAAAATTGAGATTTATATAAATATAAAACTTTATATTATCATGTTCTTACCCTATAATATACTAATGGACTTTTTTTACACAAGTTAAATGTGTAATAAATGTAATTTTTTATAATTAATTTATATAAAAATTATAAAAATTGATTTTAAATTAATTAATTAATCAATTAAAATTATCTACATGTTCATAATGTTAAAATAAATATTAATTTTTTTATGTAAATTATTGTAAAAAATTATATTTATTATACTTTAATTTATACATTTAAAATATAAATTAAATAAATTATATATAATTTTAATATAAAAATCAATAATATTTTTCTTGAAAAGATAGAAGGAAGTTGAATTCCTTAAGGTTGTGTTTGGGAACTTAAATTTGAATTTGATGGGTGTAATTGAAATACATGTATTTAAAATACATGTATTTAAAATACATGTATTTAAAATACATGTATTTTGAAATACATTGTTTGGATT